GTTGGTTACCAGTCCGAGGGTTACCAGTAGAATTCAGCAGTTCAGGTGAATCTCCTTCCAGTAGGAACGGGTCTAAGGCCACAATGCTGGCCCGTTCAGTTAGTAGTAGTTTCCGGACTTCAGTCCGATGCAGTAGTTAGAATGTTTGATGCCTTCGTGGCTCAGACAGGATTTATGTGCTATGTGTTATGTGTTATGTGTTCCGGGCTACGGCCTGATGCTGTATGAAGTATATGTGTTCATGCTAGTTGATATGTTATGCCATGCTATGTTCAGTCAGTTAGTCTGGACTTCGGTCCAATGCAGGGGACAAGGTCCCAGTCAGTTTCCAGACATCGGTCCGATGCAGGGGGCAAGGCCCCAGTTAGTCCGGACCTCGGTCCGATGCAATTGGCAAGGCCCAGTATGTGCTTTATATGTTATTGTATGGTATGTGGTAGTTTGGGGGAGCTCACTAAGCTTCGTGCTTACAGTTTCAGTTTTTGGTTTCAGGAACTCAGTTTTCAAAGGAGGAGCTCGGGAAGATTGCAGTGCACACACCATAGTGAGCTAGCCTGGGATGTTTTACTCTGATAATAAGTTTGTATTTTGAATTAATGCTACGAAATTATGTTATGATTTATGATACGGTTTTTATGAATATGGTTTTAGTAATGTTTTAAAAAGAAAATTTTAGTCGTGATTTTTGGGATGTTACACACCTTTTTTTCCATAATTTCAAATATAAACCACACGATTCTTTTGAAAACAAAATTATTCCTAAATTATTTTTTTTAATTATTTTTTTCACATGATTATTTATATAAAAATCATTATTGCATGATTCATTATTAATCACAATTCTAGTACATTCTTCATTTATATAACTTTTTCAAACAAAATCAGTATAAAGGGTAAAAGAAGTAAATAAACCCAAACCAAAAATAACAAAATCAGTATAAAGGGTAAAAGAAGTAAATAATCAAACAAATTCCAATGTATGAACTCAAACCAAAAACCAAAAAGTATGAAGTCAAGCTAATAAAAAACCAAAAAACGATCATCCTAAATAAGTCATTTACTTGCCCCCATCATTTTTTTCAACAAACGTTTTCGCATTTTAAATGGAACTTTAAATAATGTCCCCGCATCAGATTGATTTCACGACAACAACATGAGAGCCTCTACTAATTCATCTGCTTCCAAATCCATTGGCTCTAACTCTTTATAAATTTCATCACCAGTATAAACTCGGTGATGAGATTTTTCGAAGATTTTGTTACCCTCCCTCATAGCAGAAGCCACATCTTTAAATGCACTCGTAACAACCTTTTCAAACGATTCAGATTCATCTTCATCTTCAATTTCATGTTTCCTTTTTTTAGTTTTATACTTCTTAGAGCTTGAATTTTGCACCGGTGAAAAGCGTGTAGGAGATAACACTTGAATATCATCAAGACCATCTTCACCATCATCATCATCATTATTTTTTTGTTGTTTCTCAAGTGTTATGTCATTGCTTGCTAGTAACTGATCAAATTCTTCAATTTTTTCTACTTTGATATCCCCAGTCTTGTTCAATCGAGCATTCTTTACTTTCGGGGTTTCAGCATGCACCCGTGAAGCCATATCTCTCGCAAACAAAACTATCATTTCATTGTAGTTTGGTATTTTTTTGGACTTCAATGAAATAGCCTTTGGCTTTTACTGTAACACACAATCCCAAATACAATTATTGTTAAGAAAAATAACATAAATATATATAAACTAAGTAACATGCAATAAAAGAATCTTACATTAATTAGGTTTGCCCACACTTCATCGTCCGCTTCAATGAAGTTCCGCAGAACATGTCATACCATTGCGAGAAACCTGATTTTAAAGTTTTCAAACGATTCTTTAAGTGGCTTTTGTTAAAATCTTCCCAAACATTTGATTAATGTCCTCCACCATGTTAGAGTACGCTTGTGGGATGAAACTCCCACTAATCCTTAAACCTTTCTCATCTTGTGTCATCATATGTTGAATAAAACAATAATCCATCCAATCTGTCCATTTTATATGTTCTTTCTTAGTAACTTGTTCTTTCTTCATCATTTTGACTTGTATAACATCATAAATAAACAAACCAAGCATTGATAACATGAAAAATACATACTTAGAGGATGTACAAACAATGAGTAAATAACATGTCCAAAAGATACATAACACAAATAATGTCAAAACAGTAACGATTCATACAAAATCAAGTCAAACACAAAAGATCCATAGAAAATCAAATTGAAATGCTATAATAAAAACTAGTAGCTACATTAACGTATCTATCTCTTGGTTTGGATTTGGCAAGTAATCAATCCACATTTGATTTGCAACTAAGTTCCTCATTTTCTCTGCCATAGCATTACCCTCACTTGTCTCCCTTATATTATGCTGCATTTCCTCTCTTGGTTCATTTAACATCTCCTGTAGGACCTCATCTTCCAGATTTTTGTCTCGATCTTCTTCTAATAAAAAGTTATGTAAAATACAACATGCCAAGAAAATGTCTGATTACGTTACACAAGAATAAAAAGGTTCTTATGTACTTCTAATGATAGGAAACCTTCCCTTTAGACCACCAAATGGCCGTTCTATAACATTACATAATGAAGTATGACGAAGATTAAACAACTCTTTTACGTTCTCAGGTGCCCGAGCGGAATACTCTTTCAAATGATATCTGAAACTGCGATATGGTGCCATTAGTGTAGTTGTATAAGGCAAACCAACATCTACCAAATAGTATCGTCCTACAAATAAGTTGTAATTAGTTATGTATTAAAAATTGGATTACACATAAGAGTACTTTTGGTATTAAAAATTTACCCATTGGAATTACTAGTTTATCTTCTCTATTATGTGCATTCTTTAGTATCCTCGAGTCTAATGTTGTACCCTCCCAGCCACTTAAAGTGTACGTAAACTTTAAATCAAATGTACAAGAAGCTAAAACATTTATCGTAGGATATCCTTTGCGACCATGATATCTAGGGGTATCTTTGTTAGGTACTTTGACAAGAACATGTGTCCCATCAATTGCACCTATACAATTCTTGAAGAAAGGATAAAATCGTTTTGTTTCTTGAATTTCTTTTTGGACAACATTACCTATTGGTTGTTGAATATAATGACTTTCCATTGAGATAATTGCCCGGAGAACTCTATGGAAGCACCTAATTGTAGTAGATTTAGATCAACGGTATAGCCAAGAGACAAATTGATTTCTAAAATCATTGCTGACAATGTGCAAAAATCTTGCAACATGCTCTTCAACGGACATGCGTTGAGTAGCTCAAAGACCACCAACTTATTGTAAGATAGCGCACAATGTCTTAAAATGGTGCTCAATCATACAAATACGTTCACGACATTGACCACAATTTGGAAGGCCGTGTAGCAACTGTTCACATATACGTCACCGTTTTAAAATAAGTTTCCTAGAAGGTAATTTGGGACGGTTAGTTTTGGCAAGGGAACGATATGGTAGAATAGCCATCAACAAGCAAAGCAGATGAACTGCTTGCCTTTACCTGACTCTCAAAAATTGAGCGGTTGTTTATAGCTCACTATCCATCGAAATTGTTACCTATTTTATGAGAATTATCAAACTGTAATACTTTTGTTATATGTGGATTTGTGGTCACATCATTTGTTAACAATGTGGGTAACATTGATATCCATTTCATATTAGGTGTGGTTGGATTGAAGCTGTAAAGTATCATTATAATTCTCAAAATAAATATACTTACTTCTTCAAACCAAACCAAGCAAAGAATCAAATAAATCATCACAAATGAAAATAAACTTCTAATAAGCTTTGTGTTCATGTAGGTCGACCCACATACTTTTTTGTCTTATTTTTTTGAATTTTGGTAATTATTAAACGTTATACGGATGGAAACCAGAATTGGAAAAAGGAAAAGGAAAAATATATTAAACGTTATACGGATGGAAACCAGAATCGGAAAAAGGAAAATAGATTGATTTTACTTATGAAAATCTTTAGTGATAAAATTTATGTACACCTAATAAAGGTTTTTAAAACCCAAATAAGATTATACTAAAAAAATATATAAATTGTAATTCAATAAAACCTCATATTTTTTAGTAGCAATGCTATTGTTGCTCATTTTTTGTTTTGCTCATAGTTAGTTTTGTGATCAGAATTTTTTTTTCATATAGGCATTCTATCCAAATCCCCAAGAAAATGAAATATGAATAGCTTGTTCAGTTCCCTAGCGGATGGTAGATCGTTGCACTTATATTGTTATTTCAAGCCTAAATGTATAAACCCCTCATTCTATCAAAATCCCCAAGAAAATGAAATATTAAATAATGTTATGGTTAAACCAATCCTATCAGCTAAATCAAACAACATATGGTGGTGTAAGGAAGGTGGATAAGAGTGAGACTTAACATAACAGTTTACTATTAGGCACACCACCCAAGAGTACTCATGAATATGTATAATAGGGTATTTTGTGATCTTTTATGTAGAGATGATAATCAAAAATTTAATCTTCAGAAAAACTATATAATCATATTCACACTAGCATAAACTAATCCAATTAACAGAATGAAGCATGGTACAGGTTGTAATGCAGTAATGCTCATAGTTACTTGCTTAAATTAATCTTTTTTAGAGGCAGAAAAATACTCATTGTAATGAGAGTTTTTGAGAAATCCAACAACTTTTTAATAAATTTATGCAGATAAACACATTTGTAAAACTTTGGAGTGATTTTACAGAGGCAGAAAAAGACTATATAAGTACCCATACACCACCAAATAACAAAGAAGAAACATAGAAACAACTAATGCAAACTTCATGAAACTAGAAGTTTAGTGAAAGAGAAGGTGAGTTCATATACTTTTCTTGATTATATAAATGCCAAATAAGTACCCATAACCAAGAAATAGATGGTGTATAAGAAGAATAGCACCAGGTATAAGATACATAAAAAAACAAATCAAAGAAAAATATGAAACTTGAAAATAGAAGGTTGAAGACGAAGCTGATCAGGAACCGGTCAATAGGAAGCTTGAAGACGAAGCTAATCAGGAACCCGTCTATGGAATCGTCTCCGATTGCAGAGCGTGAAGAGGAGAAGCAACGATTTTTTTTCCTCTGTGATCTTGTATGTGAATGTATATAGGGGTAGTTTGGTAATCAATGGGATTTTCTTGTATCAATGATTATCTTTCTCTCCAAACCTCTCCAATTTGGTACGAAGAATAGGAGAGAAAAGATTGTGCTGATTTCCTTTCCTTTCTTCCTAAATCATTCCACAAAATAATCTCGGGAACAATCTTCACTCCTTCTTTCCCTCCGATTCTCTTCTTTTCTCTCTGCTTCCCTCCTTAATTTTGACTCGGGAACAGGGTGGAAAACAATGACAGTTGATTGAAATCATGAAGTAGCCGCGAGGCAAACAAAATGAAATCGAAGGCATTCAAGGTTTTGATGGACGAAATCGCGAGGAGGGAGGCACCTTCGGCGGTCGACGAGACCGGAGAGGAAGAGGAATGGAAAAGGTAGAGGGGTCTCGTCGGTCTTGGTTGTGGTAATCGATTGAAATGAGGAAGGTTTTCTTAGTGTGGCTAAGGGATTTGGAAGGGAATGTGGTCAGAATCAGGGTTCCGACTAGAAGCACGAAGTTACAGGTGTTTCAGTGGCATTCGCTTCAATGGGAGAAGAAGTGAAGGATATAATGGGGGCTGCTCCGGCAGCTTTGTTATTGTTTCTTCTTTTTTGAACCGGAAACACACACAAAGGAGGAGGAATTATTCACGAACAGAGCATGGGAAGGATGAAGGTGGTGACAGGGGCTCTAGTGGTGGCTTGGTCGAACACTCACAGGTCGTTTACTTCTTCTTTTTCATTTTTTATAGAAATTGATAGGCTTAAGTAGGTATTTGGGAATGATTCTTGATAAAAATTTATGAATGGAATGGATTTTTGGGGTTAATGTTTTTGTATGGAAACCATGGGTTTTTTGTTTTGCTTGGCAGAAATCGATGGGGGTGTTTGGGTTTTCTGTGATATGGAGGTATTCGTAGTGTAGTGTTAGAGTGTTCTAACAAGTTGAAGAAGAAGTGAAAGTAACATGTTCAATTTGATGTGCAGGAACAAGGAAGAAGAAGAGGGAAACATGTTTCCTTTGAGTGTCCAATTGTACAAAACAAGACCTAAAAAAAATCAAGATTTAGAAGAAACACAATTGTATAATTTGTATTGTATAAGTTTCATTTTTGTATTTTGTAATGTGTATTTATTTCATTATGTAATGGGTGTGTATTGAGGTATGAATTTATTGATTGGTATGGATGTATATTTATAATAGATTTAATATACACTTTTATTATAGGTATTTATGTATTGCACTAGTTCATCTATGGATGGTATAGTATAGTATAGGAGTTGACCACTTTTGTATTTAGATTCATATTTATACATTTCAAACATGTATATATGTAGTGTTGTTATAACATTATATATATATATATATATATATATATATATATATATATATATATATATATATATATATATATATATATATATTGCATGTTTCTTTATCATACATGATGTATATTTTATAAAAACCGTAACCGATTATATCTTTAATTGTTATAAAAATATGTTTCCTTACATATGAATATATGCACGAATTTTAGAAATATTGTGTCATTTCCACCTTCAAAATTTTCATCAACCGGATTGGATTTATATATATTATTTCGGGATGCATTACCAATAACTAAAATTATATCGAAGTCAATAGTTCAAGGTTCCGCGATTAATAAATCTGAAAACGTCTAATTTTTCAACTTTTATAAATATTTTAAATATAAAATTAAATATTAGGTTATAGTCTGAGTCGAAAAATGCTTTCAGAATTTCCATTTAAGGTGTGCAAGTCCTTTAACGGATAGAAGCGGTTTTAGCGGTTTTAAGAAAACCAGTATTATATTGGTTTTGGATTCTAAAAACCGGTTATCTTTTGCATACAAACTTTGTTTTGGACGTTCTCTAAATTTTTGGAATCAGGGAAACACGTACTACGAGGCTAGATTGTTTGTTTAAATTTTTGGGAACTAAGGTATCATCTTATATCTTATAATAGTTTAAATGAACTTATTTATTTTACTTAAGATGCACTTAAACTCAACAAGTAAAATTATCACGGGATTCGCAGTGAATTGGCCGGATATAAATTTATCCCTAAATTGCAGGATGTCACATTACCTCCCAGTTAAAGGAAATTTCATCCCAAAATTGAGGTCGTACTGATAGTACACGGGGCATCGATAAATAGTAATGTATTTTTGTGGTACATGATCCATGTATGGTCCTTCTATAATCGTCTTGTGCATACATGTTATATATAATCAAGATTCAATAGACGATCAAATAAGTTATTATACCTTATGCCCACAACCAAACAAGGAACAAGAAGTAAATAGGAGTCATAGATTTGAAGCTTTAAGAATATATACAACCCAAACGTATACACTTAGCAAGCATAAATTAACAGCAAGCGTCCTTAGTTTCTATATGAATGTCATGATTATTTCCGGTCAGAAGGTAATTGGTGAGTATTTCTAAAGTGCTTCTATTTGGTTGATAGGCATATCTACTGTGTAAGTTTCATTTAGTTCGTAGAATTTATGTTCTGCCGTGTTTCAAAACATATGGTCGATAAAGCTTTTATCGATACCAATATCAATTAATACCAAAGCCTAAACATTGTTGATTTGAAATGTAGCAATAACCACATGTGGTTCATGGAGAGCATCTCCAGCAGTGATCATAAGTACCCTTCCATTGCCACCCTGATTATTCAGTTTCGGGAAGTCCTTCCTAAAATGCCCTGGTTGAATGCATTCAAACCAGTTATGGCTTCCTCCTACCATAGTGGTTGGGTTTTTCTGCAGTACCTTGAGATGTGACCTCTCATAGTACACATATTAGAGATTATCTCCCTGCAATTTCCAACATGATGGAAGTTGCACTCTGTACAATGAGGTAAAGTCCAAGTGTAGGACTTTGTTAGGGTGGGAGTGTTGGTAATTACGGTATAGACAACTAAACGTTTCGGTTTAGTTTTGATATGCTTGGACTTCTCCTTTGATTTCCCATGAAACTTCCTTTTGGTACATCCAATATGCTTCTTTTCTGATGGTGGGGCTATGGTACCCTGACGGATACACTGCTCAGTCAATTGATAAGCCAATTGTTTAGCACTATCAAAAGTGTATGGTACGTATGTAGTAACCAGACCTTGGACTAGTGATGTTAGTCCCCATATGTATCTCTCAAAATTCTTATCGTCTGAGGGTACCATTCCTAGGCAAAGGTTAGCAAGGTCATTGAATCGGGAGGTGTAGGAAGCTATCTCAAATCCTTGCATGGTTAGATTCGAAAGCTCTTGTTCTAAAGCTTGTATTTCCTGTCAGGGGCAATAATCTCTGATCATCATCTGTTTTAGTGGTTCCTAACCCTTGGCATTAGCTTCATTGATTCCCATGAACTTTTCATGGTTATTCCACCACGTTAAAGCGGATTCCATCAGTGTGCATGTAGTGTACTTGACATGACAGTCATCAGGGCACACAGTGATATGAAAAATTGCCTCGGTCTTTTGTATCCAAGGTGTAGACCAACTACTCCTTCAGTGTCGTAGAAGGATCGAGGTTTGTAGCCCATGATTTCCTTGTAGGAGCAGTGTCTGGTGTTGTTTTGGTGAGTTATTGGAGTGCCATTTCCACTATTAACAACGTTTCCATTTCGAGTTGCCTCGTATGCTGCCAAGGTTGTAGCAATTCCTGGTGCAAGCATGTTTTGCATCATGGTGGGGTCCATTTCAAAAGATTGGTTCAAATTTGTTACTTTTGGGGCTCCTCCCTAGTTTTCAATTTCCACTATTGTTTGAGTTATTGGTCGAGCTTTCTTTCTGTTGCCTTGGGGATTTGGCGGTGGACAAACTTGTGGTTCCTTTCATATAGGAATTATCCTAAATGTATAGAAAAGACACACTTAAGTTGTTTATACTACTTAATCATAACAAGTATGTAATAATTGTATTACGTGATAGTGTATTAGTATAATTTATTCCAATAATCCCATAGATTTCTAAGTCATAGAGTGAGATTGATTAATGAAATCCTATCGATTTTTAAATGACAGGGGAAAGGTGATTGGTTTAGAAATCCACAAGATTTCCGAATGATAGACGGGGATCTTAATTGCTAATGATTTTGGAATGTATTCCTGTTTTTAAAACTATATATGGATTCCAAGGTACTATGTTACTATAGAGAATCTGGAGAACATTCTTCAATCTCTAAAACTCTCAATCGTTGTAGTCTGTCAAACTCCTTGCTCAAGGATGGTTATGCACCAGCCCGACGATAAATAACATAGGCATGGTTCCAGGTTTATTTGTGGTATGACTTATATTCAGTACTAACCTTAAATTGAGGCATTTGACTTAAAGGGTTGAGTTGGTAGTTTTAGTTGAAGGTATGTCTAAAATTTTTGTTAAGTGTTCTTATCCGAGCCAATATATATAAACTATTATATATTATGGTTGGTGGGGTTTATAGTATTATTAACTTTTATTTTATACTTCCCGAGTACTGAACACAGACAAGGGGCATGCATGAAGTACCGGAGGGCAGGATCATTTTACTTTTAGCAACCAAGTTGTTCTGAATCTAGCAACCTAATCAGCACTTCGAACCAGATTCCTCGTATTGTAAGTAGTCGAGAATTAGTGTTATTATTAACAAAACTTTTACAAAAAGTTGGTTTACGATAGTTGTATTCCTCTTTCGAGGATACGAGTTCTCTATAGCCAATTTAGCTTTGATACTATTCTATCACACCCTTGCCAAGGCGGAACATGCTAGGAGTGCGACAAAGTTCATGGATCACAGATAAACTAAATATATAGCACAAGTACAACAATAAACAAAACAACATTTATATTATGCCATTAAGTTTGAATACAAGGTTCTTAGATATAAAAATAGTACGATAGTTGTATTAACAAGTAAGCAGATAAAAAAACCTAAATAGCTAGGTCGTCTGTAATATACGACTAATCTTCTGTTCAAAAGCTTGGCTAGTGATCTCTTGAGAATACATGTAAGTTTGAGGGTCAACACAAAGGTTGGTGAGAGTTATAGGTTTTCGGCTAATCGCAGTAATACTTTTAAAAAGTCCATAAAGTATTTTCCTTGTATGTACGACAATGGTTAAAATAGTTTTTGCAATGAGTCTTTGAAAGCCAAAATGTATAGTTTGTATAAGTGAATGCATAAATAACACTGTGTTTGTAATGAATCTTTGAAAGCCAAAACATTATGTTCCATAAGTAATTCCATATTAAAAATAGTTTGTAAAGCAACTAAGACCATGGTTGGTAGTGTGTGTGTGTGTGTGTGCGAGAGAAAGACAGAGAGAGAGAGAGAGAAATAAAGATAGATAGAGAAAAAAAAGATATTCTTGTTAATTTTTATAATGACAAAGTTGTATGGATAACAGAAAAAAGACATATGGATATACGGATGTCACACCCCGCCGTAGTCGAAACACGGGGCGTGGAAGTACAAAGGGTCTCATAGCAAATGTTAAAAGACACCACCAACCATAGTATTAAAAACCTTACAAATTACAATAAGTTTGAACAACTCTTAAAAGTAATTACAACATATTAAAATAGAACAACTCATGCAAATTCTCCTACAAGTGATGTATCTCTACATGCCTCTTACTAGATGATTCCTGAAACAGTATGTAAAATGAGCGGTCATCTACCGAAATAGTTAGTGAGTTCAAATGTTAAAATTAATATTGGTTTCATGAATCGTAATCGAAGTTTTGATAGAAATTTCCATAAATACAAGTACATTGCAAAAATGTGTAATTAAGTGTACGAAAACATACTCTTTCAAAAAACGTTTACAAAAATATAGTTCGTTGTCCTCATGAGAAATAACGTACGTTGCCCAAGTGAGATTTAACATTCACATTCTCATGGGAAATAAAGTTCGTTGTAAAAATGAGTAAAGAAGTTCATTTCTAAGACAAGTAAATAAGTTTCCAGTAATAAAAGTGATGGGTTTTGGTCATAAGACATCCTATGTGCTCATACAAACCCTAATGCTTAGATCTAGGTTTCTCTATTGTACTTGCTTTGAATCCAAGACTATAAACCCTAATTCTAGTATTTCAAATAATCCTATTAACATAAGAATGAGTTTATAATGTTACCTTGATTGTTATGTAGCAATAACAATCCCAAATCTCCTTGTATTGACT